GCAGACATCTTACTTGTGTCTGTCCACGGTGACAAAACATCCCCACCTTCAGCTTTGGAGTGTTCACCCCATGAAAGCAGAGGACTTTAGAGCAAAAAAGAATCATACGTAATGTCCTAAATAGACCAATGCCCTTACTTTACAGATGAGAATCCAGAGGTGTGAGACAGGAATGGAGGTTAAATGATTTATTCAAAGTCATACACTAATTCATGGCAAAGACGGGCATAAATTCAGCCAGACTCCTGACTTACTCTAGCCATAGAGTAAGTCCACCTGCATAATAACATACTTCTTTTAATTCTCCACCATTTAAATTTTGGTCTTTCTCTTTTTCAGCAAAGAGAGAAGAAGGTGATTGAAGCTTTGCTGACCGGGATAAAGGAAGAGGTGTTTCATTTGACCAAGTCCAGAGGTTCAAAGGTGAGTTCCTTGAATACATTTTTGATATCCATCCCTCTGAGTCTCCAAGCCTTGAAGCAGATGCCAACTTAGTCTAGAATCCCAGCTGTAGTAGAGGGACCAGCCAGCAGCAGGGTTATTAGTGCTGCTACATATTTCTTTCAATTAATCCCCATTTATAATTGAAGAGCTCTCCAAAACATTAACATTAAAAGACTGCAGTTTGAGATAGGCCTTGAGTGGTTCATGGGACACCCTTAGAAAGCAAATGCTAGAGAAGGTTTGTTTCTATCAGAAGGTTAGAGATGCTACTTCCACGCTATACTTAAATATTTACATCTCCATCTTCCTTTCTAAGCCGCCCAGAGCAGGCCAAGACTTTTGATTCCTCTCACCCAGCAGAATGGCTGGCACACCATATCTAGTAGGGATCCTATAGATGGTTATTGAATGAATGAGTGAAATAGTTTCATCCATAACTCTCTTATCAGTTTATTCTTTAACAGAAGAAGAATCCCTAATAAATTGACTTCTGAATATTATTTTTCTTCCCTTAGACCCTCAATCTCCATCATTTCTGCCTAGATTTCCACTAAGCTAATTGTAACCTCTATTTTGCCCTTCCTCACTTTTCCTGATACATAACACTCTATAGTTGACTAGTTAAAGGAACTGTTTACAATATTCTTTATTTTGTGAACTAATAATGTAACAAAATATATAAGGTAACACAAGTAAAGTTGGAAAGACAACCTAACCAAAGTCACAAAACTTTGTTGGTAGATTTTAACAAACATTAATGTGCATGAATGAGAAATGTTTCTTGATAGTAAAGAAGAAATTTCTCTCTAGAGCCTCTTTCTCTACTTTCCAGAGCTTACGCTTTTATCATTTCCTTTAAAAGGGGGAAAAACTTGATTTGCTGTTTTCTAAAGATGTCACTTTGTTCTCTTTCCTTTCACATATTTTAAGAAACTTCCCTTTGAGTTTTTCTTGTCACAGTATGTATTTTTTCTGTTATATTTGAACTGGAAGCTCTTTAGGACAAGGATTGTCCTCTATATATGGACAGAGCGATGTTTACTTTTAGTGCTCAGTACTTTTAAACCTCTTCTTTTTTTCAGAGAAGGGGCACTAATCATAGGCTAATACACCTCAAAAAGGTAGATCATGATGTATGAAATGGAATAGTTTCATAAGACAGAAAATAAAAAAATACAATAAAATGCAGAGGTTAGATATGAGTTTAGGTCTGAGTCAGTTATTGAAGAGGTACAGAGTGATAAAAAGGGAATATGTTACTGGGAAATAACTCTGTTGGGAGGTCAAAGCACTGGGAAGAAAATGAAATTCAATAACCATCTGAGTACTGACTCAAGGTTGGGAAGGATTCAGTGATGGGGAAGACATGATTCTTCGCCTCCTGCAGTGAAGAAAACACACGTGTACACACAACTAGAAAGCAAAGTGGACCTGCATAAGGCAACAAAGATACAGAGAAAGGACATTCTAGGAAAATTTAAAGAACAGTACAGCTTTACTCATTAAGGGTGAAAATTATTCAGAGTGCCTCACATTCTAATGTATGAAGCTGCTTTTATTGGTTCCCGGAAGTCACGAGGGCTATTATTTTTCCAAATCAGGAGCACTTTGTATATGCCTCATTTTGTACATTGTCACTAAGTTTTTTATTTACTGCCTTTCCTAAATTTTGGGACACATGGAATTCTACTTAAGATTTTAGGTTACTATTTAAGCACAGCAAATGTGATTTCATAAGATACACATTTTTATTAAGTGAATCTCTATCACTTTTTGAAATATGCCTTGCATTAATGGATCTTGTAAATCAAAGATTCACAACTAAAAGGAATCTCCAGACAACATATGGTCCACTTAACGACTTCTCAGCAGTATTTGTCAAAAAGTCAAATGCTATCGCTGGACTAACAGGTACTAGATTTCTCCCTCCTAAAGTTATTATTATATTAAAGAGTCACTTCAGATTTTTCAATCTGTAATGATAGTACAATATAAAGTCAATAGTTCTTGATTTTCTTGCTATGTTACATACTGACCACTGATGGTAATGTGAAACATTTCCTGCTATTCACTGATTAAAAAAACCCAGAGACTGGGCAGGAGATAAGATGTCAAGAAGTAATGAAATGAAGGGGGATAATGCAAAGGAACCGAAAAGAGAAAAACATTAAAGCGATGTTATTTTTTTCCCCTGTGTATGCAGATGGACAGGAAAATTATAGCAGTAATTGCAGACTCCTTTTCACCAAAGACAGAATGGCCTTGGGGAATTAGAGTATGAGAGAAAAGGTCCAGTGAAACTACATTCTCATGCAGGCTCCACCTGAGTTGCTGGATTTGGCCAAGGTCATTTACCCTTCTGTGCCTTAGTTTCTATAACTGTTGAAAAAGATTTTTTTTTTAAACAACAGAAATTTATTTTCTTTATATCTTGCTCCTTTTTTAAAAAAAATTATATTGGATCAGTTGATTAACAATGTTGTGTTAGTTGCAGGAGTACAGCAAAGTGATTCAGTTATACATATACATGTACCTATTCCTTTTCAAAATGTTTTCCCATCTAGGTTATTACAGAACACTGAGCAGCGTTGTGCTATACAGTAGGTCCTTGTTGGTTATATAAATATATTTATTTATTTTTTAACATCTTTATTGAAGTATAATTGCTTTACAATGGTGTGTTAGTTTCTGCTTTATAACAAAATGAATCAGCTATACATATATATATATATCCCCATATCTCCTCCCTCTTTCATCTCCCTCCCACCCTCCCTACTCCACCCCTCTAGGTAGTCACAGAGCACTGAGCTAATCTCCCTGTGTTATGTGGCTGCTTCCCACTAGCTGTTTTATGTTTGGTAGTGTATATATGTCCATGCCACTCTCTCATTTCGTCCCAGTTTACCCATTCCCCTCCCCGTGTCCTCAAGTCCATTCTCTACATCTGTGTCTTTATTCCTGTCCTGCTCCTAGGTTCTTCAGAACCTTTTTTTTTTTTAGATTCCATATATATGTGTTAGCATATGGTATTTGTTTTTCCTCTTTCTGACTTAGTTCACTCTGTATGACAGACTCTAGGTCCATCTACCTCACTACAAATAACTCAATTTCATTTCTTTTTATGGCTGAGTAATATTCCATTGTATATGTGCCACATCTTCTTCATCCATTTATCTGTCTATGGACACTTAGGTTGCTTCCATGTCCTGGCTATTGTAAATAGAGCTGTAATAAACATTGTGGTACATGATTCTTTGAAAAAGATTATTTGCCTCTTTAGTGATTGGGAAGATAAGATAATTTTAGGGGCCCCAAAAAGTGGTCAGAAGAAGGTGCTATGAGAAAACCAAGTAGTACTATTATTATTGAGCTGTGTATCCTGTTGGCATGAGTCATCTTGCTGCAGACATAGGAGCAATTCCAAGTGTGGCTGAGCATCAGAGACAATTAGAAGGAGGCCAGTGCCCTTAGCTGGTGTTAAGGTAGATTTTAGTTGCATTGAAATCTGCCCTTTACTTATTCAAAAAACCCAAAGCAGGGGGGCAGTTTTAAAGTAAGTATAGCAATGTGATTATACAAATAGACTTTCGAAATATTAAAGCCAGTTTGAATCCATGGTTTGCCACTTAGTACTATGACCTTGGGCAAGTTTCTTTAAACTTCATTTTTCCCATCTGTATAATAGCATCTATAGGGCTATTGTAGGGACTTAAAAACGTACAGGGTTACAAGGACTCAAGAAAGTTAGCTATTATTGTAATTTATAGGAGATAAAAGAAAGTAGAAATTCAGATTGATAAATAAGTGAATCTTTAAAAAAAGTAAGAGAAAAAGACAAGTTTGTATTTTATAAAACATTATATGATTCAAGGGGTCTAGGAAGAGGCAAACTTGTTTTGTCAAGTCTGAATCCACCCCTATTTCATGAGTCTACCGCAACCCGTCAAACCTATATCTCGCACACAAAACACAAACAGGAAAAACCTTCCGTGTGCTTCAACAAAAACAGCTTTCCATTTTAAAGCCACCTATATATATTTATATATATATATTTTGTTTGTTCGAAAAATCTCTTGGATACCCAATAGCTCTTTTAAAACAAAGCTCAGATGCTGTGTTTCTGTTGTTTTAAAGAGAGAGCAATCAGAGGAGCGCGGATTAGCTCCCTTTGAATCTCCCTGGGGGCTGGGAAGCCTTCAAGCAAAGCCCGGGGGGCGGGACGCTTTTTTTTTTTTTTTTTAATCGATCTCCGAACCTTCGCTCCTGCGGCGGGG